TTTCTTAATATTCATATGCATGCTCGTAAATTTAATTATTTAATGCATGTTTTTCTTAATATTGTTTTAATGTTTATATGTTTCCGAATATTCATATTTATGCTCGTAATTTTATTGTTCCTATATTCATATGCATTCTCTTAATTTAAAAATGCCTGCTTTAGATTTATCGTTTCATAATATGTGTATATCATTTGTTTATATGCTTTAAATATGCCTTAGATATTGAATGTTTATATGTTTTTGAGTGTTTCAGATATTTATTAAGAATAGTTAATTATTAAATATTTAGTCAAGGTTATTTTTGAGTTTTTGTTAATTTCGGATATTTATTTAGAATAATAATTTCAACTCCATTAATTTTCGCCCCCTCATGTTACACTTTCAAAAAAGTTAACATGTCTAACCCAACAAAATAATGAAACTGTTAATTATTTTTTTAATAATATTTCGGATATTATAATATTTTTTTAATATTATAAAACGCTTATAAAAATTTCGGATTATTTAACTGCTTTTTAAATAATTTCGGATATTATAATATTTTATTTTAAATAAAACGTTGTTTCATAAAAAACATAAAAAACGTCATTTTTTTACATTGTTGATAAGCTTGATAAGCAAATATGAAATAATTGAAATAATACAGAAATTAATAATAAACTTTTTCATAGGTAAAAAACAGAAATGAAGTAAAAAAATGTATTTTATATATTAAAACAGAAATAAAAAAACTAAACAAACTGTTTTTGTTTATATAATATGAAAATGATTTCATATGTTTCATGAAAAATTTATTTTATAGGTTTCATGAATAAACAAAAAATGAAACTGATTTTTAAAAATTTTTTGAAAAAATTGATTTTATAGATTTCAAAAATCAAATTTTTCATGAAACATATGAAATCATTTTTGTATTATATAAACAAAAACTGATTTTTTATTTCAAAAATCAGTTTGATAAAAAATATGTGGATTTACAGAAATCAGTTTGATAAAAAATATCCGTGATTTACAGAAATCAGTTTAATTTTTTATCCGTGATCAAAAATCAGTTTGATTTTTTAATTCAAAAATCAGTTTTAATTCAGCAATCAGTTTTCTGATTTACAAAATCAGAAAACTGTTTTTTATAAATTAATACCTAACACAATTAAATTCAATAACATAAAAATCATACAAAAAACTCATCCTACTCCTCATATTAAACTCAAGTTTAATATGTTCTATATTTCAAAGATCGATAAATACGTAACACAATTAAATTCAATAACAGAAAAATCATACAAAAAACTCATTCTACCCCTCATATTAAACTCAAGTTTAATATGTTCTATATTTCAAAGTTTGATAAATAAACAGGAAACTAATAAGTTTAAACCATAATACCACACAAAAACTCCATAAACTAATTTTAGAAAATTGTTTTTTATAAATTAATACAAAATACAAGGTGTAATAAACTGTATTTTTCTAAATTAATGCAAAAAACTGATTTCCGATGATTTATAATTTAATATGGAAAAACTGATTTTATTAGTTTAATATAAAAGTTTGATTAATTGATTTTATATAAGGTTTGATAAAAAATATACACAACACAAGTTACCTCCATAACATAAAAATCATACAAAAAACTGATTCGACCCCTCATATTAAACTCAAGTTTAATATGTTCTATTTATCAAAGTTTTATACCACACAAAAACACCATAAAATAATTTTATAAGGTTTGATAAAATAATACCTAACACAATTAAATTCAATAACATAAAAATCATACAAAAAACACATTCTACCCCTCATATTAAACTCGAGTTTAATATGTTCTATATTTCAAAGTTTGATAACTAAATAGGAAACTCATTAAGTTTAAACCATCATACCACACAAAAACTCCATAAATTGATTTTATAAGGTTTGATAAAATAATATCTAACACAATTAAATTCCATAACATAAAAATCAAACTAAAAACTCATTTGACCTCTCATATTAAACACAAGTTTAATATGTTCTATATATTATTTCTCAATAATTTTAGATGAGTGAGCACGAACGCCGCCTTTCCACCATTGCTCGTCGTGGGCGCCAGAATTCACGACGGGCCTCAAACGCTGATCGTGATATCAATCCCGACGAAGGACAAGCTCATGACGGACATGTCCAAACTCCTCCCTCCGAACAATCAGACGCTCATATAAGCGTGCATGGGGAGGGGGCATCATCTCATGCACCTCCTTCATCTGGTGCAATATATGCCCCCCCCCCCCCCCCCCCCCCACTCAAGAAGAGCGCCACAATCCCGGTTCGCTTGAGGTGACACCTCAATCAATCCATAGGTAATAAAAAACTAACACTCTCTAATATAAAATAGTATAATCTCTACATCTAAGAATTAATACAATTGGTTTTATCAATTATCAATTTTTTGAAGTGATTCCGAGGTCTTGAATAGAATCAAGTCTATTGTTTGTGGTCATTTCACGGGGCCTTGGTCGACTTATGGTGAGGTTCCGGCGGCCACTCGTGAACTATGGTGGCGGTTGTTCAAAGTAAAAATAAATTTTTTTGTTACATTTTAATAACTTAAATTTAAGAAATGATATATCAATGTTTTTAATGAAGGCTTCCCATCGGTGGCATTTTGCCCTAGACCAAGCTATTCTCAAAGAATACAATTCTAGGATTTCTGGGTGGTTGAGACCCACTTTTAGGACCGCCCGGTCTACGGGTAAAAAGTCAAAATTCCTTGGCGATGATGTGTGGGAGATGCTTTGCCGCCACTGGGCTACGGATGCCGCATTTTTGCTGAGAAGCGAAACGGCCAAGGCAAACCGGAACTCCGAGAAAGCCAAGGAAGTTCAATGGCACGGGGGCCGCAAACCCCAAATTCAACATAAAAAAGATCTGGTAAACTCTAATTAGTTAAAATTATTTCAATTCCATACCCTTATGTATATATTTTTTTATTAACTTTGAAATCCGTGTAGGAAGGATCTGGACCCGTGAAAAACGGGTCACGCCATTGAAACTCATGGCACATTGCTGGACGAAGAAGGGTGTCATGCCGCCTCCCCGCCTTTCTGAAATTGAAGTAAATAATGAAACTTCAATAATTCAATAAATTTCGATTTTTTTTCTCTTATATAATAAATTTTTAAACTTGTAGAAAAAATATGAGGAAGAGCGGGGGAAGAGAGTTGATGAGCTAGCTGATTCTGATGACGAACTTGATGAAAATCAAGAACATGAGGCCATCTTGGCGGCAACCGGAGTTTACAAGGGCCGGGTGCCGCTTATGGGTTCTGAAGGCGTACGGATCCTAGAGAAGGCCAAAGGAGCTAGCTCATCTTCTCATTCGGCATATGATGATCGGGTTACCCGCCTCGAGAAACTATTGGAGGAACGTGAAGCCGAGGCTCGAAGGCGGGATGAAGAAGCTCGGATACGGGATGAAGAGCAAAGAAGAACAAGAGAAAGGTTGGAAGAGATGGAACACCAAATGCGTATTTTCAACGCCACCTACCGTCCATCCATGCACATACAGCACCCCGAGATGACCCCACAAGTTCCCTTCGCGGGCAATATGGGCAATATGGGCAGTATGGGCAGTAGGGGTTTTGCTAATTATAGCCATATCTCCAACAACTTTCCATATGGATATTATGATGATATCCCGACTCCCGGAGCTCAAGCATACCATGGCAGCAGCCGTGCTGGCAGCCGCGGTGGCAGTCGAGGCAGCCATCGTGGTGGCAGCCGTGGCCACGGAAGGCAACCCGATCATCGTGACGAACCTGATGATGATGATGCTGATTATGATGACCATTGATGGTTTGTAATAATTAGTTTATTGACATTTTAAGGATTTTTAAATTTTGATGTGTTAATGTATGAATATTAATTATTTGTGTTATATAATGATGGTTTGATTGGTTTATTATTTATTATGATACCTAATGTTTAATGGTGATTAATGATGATTAATGAAGATTGTTTAATTATTTATTATAAACAATTATTTATTAAGATTAATGATGATGATTGTTTAACTATTTATTAAAAACAATGTTTATTAAGTTTAAATTTTTGAAAAAGTGCCTAAATTTTAATGGTTATTATTTATTAAATAAACTTTTGAAATAAACATTCAAAAAATTAATGCGCTGAATTTTTAAAAAATTTTTAAAAAATTTAAACTTTTGTCACGGACTGTTCCGTGATAAAATATAAATTTATTTTATTTTAAAAACATAAAACGCTGAAAATAACGTATTTTTTTTAAAAAAAAATGTTTTGTCACGGATAGGATCCGTGACAAGTTCAAAATTTTGAATTTTTTTGAAAATTTTAAGCACCCGCCCACTCTATTTTAAAATTTTCAAATTTTTTTCAAATTGTTTTGTCACAGATATTTCCGTGACAAAATTTAAAATTTGAATTTTCCGGATCGTTTCAAATACCCGCCCACTCTATTTCGAAAAACCTTTTTTTAAATTTGTCACGGAAATTTCCGTGACAAATAATTATTATTTTTTTGAAAAATAAAAAAAATTATTCACGGATGCGGCCGTGACAAATGAAAGGCGATGGGGTTCCGGTGAAGTGTTTTGTCACGGACGGTGGGCGTGACAAATCCGTGACAAACAATCTCACGGATTAATTTCCATGACAAAAACGTTATCACGCCCCTGATGTCACGGATTTTTTCCGTGACAAATCCGTGACAAAAAATCATTTGTCACGGATTTTTTGAACTACCGTCCGTGACAAAATCTGTGACAAACGGCGTGTCTTTTTGTAGTGTAACCTAAAATCACTTATGTCTGTACGTAACTATATTGTAACCCATATCGTTATTTTTTTGAATGATAACACATATCTTCTTATTAGTGAGCATAAAAAAAACTCTACTTGTACACTTTTGTACATTTTATACCACGTCTGATATTTGTTCGAAAATTGTCAACGTAAACAGACAATTTGTTTACTATTACGTCAATTTAAGGGTTCTTCTACGGTGCATTCAAAAATAAAAGATGTACCGGTGCATTAACATTTTCGCTAATCACATTAGCGTAGTAAGCCACGTTAGGATCGTACTCAGATTACTAAACTAAGTTTTATTAATTGCAGTTTAGGCCCTGATAAATAAATGAAATACTTAAAGTTTGCTAACGACTGGATGCTCCGTCACACACGATACTTCCGTCAGTTCCACACAAAAATCACTCCGCCTGTTTTGTGCGGCTACATCAAACTCACCGATGAAACAAACTCAAACATCAGCCAAAATGAGGACTAAACTTGTGTGCTTGGGTGCTTCCAATCTGTGAACTAGTCTCCGGTGACAGGAAGGATGACAAGCATCTTTGTTGTTATGTGGTTGTGGCTCCATCTTCTGATCTCTTTTTTACAAAGAGAAATGATGGAAAGCATCTTATCATCTGTTCTGGACAAGTCAAGAGGATTTGAAGTGTTTTTCTTGTTTCAATAGAAAATGGGAATCCTTCGATTTTTAAAAATGGCTGCCATCCATTGTGTCACGTAGGTGTTTGATTGGCTTCTGGTTTCATGTTTTCCGTTTGACGTAGAAGTCCCAAAGGAAACTGGAAAAGAGGTTGCAGGAACTGACGGCAATGACAGAGCGGTTAACAAACGTTGAAATGTGGGAGTTATTTATAAGGGACTATGCTGCAAATAATAAAATTTATTATATTGATGACTAGGATGTAACGTGGCTTTAAAATAGAATCTGATTGGCTACCGAGGTTAAGGTACCGGTACATCAATATTTTTTGAAGGTACCGTAGAAATTTCCTCAATTTAATAGGAGTACCAAGGATAGAGTTTTAAGTAAGGTACAGAACTCCTAACTTTAAATTGATCTCTTTGAGATTCAAGGTGATGATATACAACTAATACAAGTGTTGTTAAGATTATACATAAAAATGCATAGATATATATCTGTCCCGTTGACTTAAGCTTGTAGTTTATGACAAACACTGGACCTGGGGTTGGCCATAGAGCCTGCAATCAAAACGCGTCTGACCCTTTTAGTCCCAATGTCAACCAGGGAAGAATTAAATACGGCTGGCAAACAAACATAAACTAATGGGACTTAAATAATTGAACTCACAAATGTCAGCTAAACAAGGCTGTTTGGCCACCGGGTCTTGTTCAAATGGGGGTGGTTCTTGCCCGTACACCATCTCACAACTCATATCTTCAAAATCTGTTTCATTTCACATTCATTTAGCTAGTACTATTAATAATAACTCTTTCACTCCTTTCCTAATTTAAATCATCTACATGGCCTTTTAAAACCCATGTAGATTTGATTTAAAAGAAAGAAAATATGAAAAGTGCATTCAGCCACGGATGGACCCGGGCCGGTACGGTTCCGGTTCCGGGCCGGGCCCGTGCGGGCTTTTTTCCAGATACTTGGGCCCGGAACCGGCCCGAGTTGATACCGGGTCCAGGCCAAACCGGGCCGGGCCGGTTCAATGTATAATTTTTTTTTGGCTTTCTTGTTATCCCCCGACCCCCCCCCCCCCCCAAAACACCCAGCCCTACTCAAGGAAAAGAAAAAAAATTGAATAAAAAAGGCCCGGAACCGGCCCGAACCGGCCTGTCCAGTTCATATAAATGTGGGCCCGGAACCGGCCCACCAGGCCCGCCCAACCCGGGCTAAAGCCCGGAACTGGCCATCCAGGTCCGGTCCGGGCCCGTACAGTAACAGGTCGGGCCGGTTACGGTTCGACCCGGTTGGGTCCATGCCTACATTCAGCTAAAGTTTTGGAATGAATGGAAAAAAAAAAAGATTTTTCACAAATTATTACTGAAATTATGAACAAAAATGTGACTAAAGTTACTTTGAGTGTAGCATCAAAGTCCCTGTAACGTAAACATGAACATATTTATAACTAAAAGGTATTAATATGGTCACTACATATCACATGTCACATTTTTGTTCATCATCTTTATTTTAATAATATAAATATATAAAGAGTCTCGTTCGAGTCAGAAGCTTCTAACCGGAACCGCCGTGCGGAATTCACTGTTTGGGATTGTTTCCGGTGGAATTTTTTGATGAATTTTTTAGCATGTTCATCATCAAGTCTAGTTTATGTCCACCAAATCTCGACTTATGATTCAATCAAGAAGACAATTAAATAAATTATTAAAACATATTGCGTTTTACATATATATATGTAGAGAGAGACTGTTCGAGTCAAGAACTCCTAGCCGGGACCGCCGTGAGGAATTCACTGTTTGGGGTGGTTCCCGATGGAATTTTATGATGAATTTTTTTGAAAATGTTCTTCATCAAGTCTAGTTTATGCAAACCAAAATTTCAGCTCAAAACTCAATCTAGAAGGCAGTTAACTAAATTATTGAAACATATTGTGCATTATGTACATATATTAAGCGCAGTAGATTTCAAGAATTTATTTAACTGTCTCCTCGATTGAATTTTGAGCTGAAATTTGGTATGAATAAACTAGACTTGATGAAGAACGTGCTCAAAAACTTTCATACAAAACTTCCATCGGGAACCATCCCAAAAGGTGAATTCTGCACGGCTGTTCCGGTCCGAAGCTCCTGATATGAACTGCCCTCTTTATATATACTACATTATATACTACATTATATATAAAGAGGGCAGTTCATATCTATTTGACTTGATGAGGAACATGCTCAAAAAATTTCATCAACAACTTTTTCCGGGAACCGCCCCAAACGGCGGCGGCCGGAGGGTCCCGTCTCTCCGGCTGGACAAGATCATTCATATATATATATATATATATATATACTCCCTCCGTCCCAAATTTATATATATATATACTCCCTCCGTCCCAAATTGATTTGCAAAATTTCCTATTTTGGTTGTCCCAAAATGGTTTTCCACTTTCTATTTTAGGTATGTAAATAAGAATAAAGTAACAAATTTACCTTTACTTTTACTTTTCATTAACTTAAAGCCATCTACTTTTAACAAGATGGGCAAAAGTGTAAAAAACAAACATCATTTATTGTCATTCATTAATCCTTATGCCGGTCAAAGTTTGCAATTCAATTCGGGACGGAGGGAGTATATATATATATATATATATACAATCACTTGCACTTTTTCGTGTTTCTGTTACATTTTTTGGTGGTGGCAAAAAGTGTGGTTTATTTACGAAATTGCCACAGCGATTTTGGTCGGATTTAGTGCATTTTTGGCTCATTTTGACCCATTAGATGTGGAAATGAATGCACAAGATTCATTCTCACTTTGCATGGAAAGATCTCTTTGTATTTGAAACATCCCCTATGTGGGTGTGGGTGTGTATACATATATATATATATATATAGAGAGAGAGAGAGAGTGGCGTTTCTGTTAGGCCGGCCTGACAGGAGCTACGGTCTGGCCGAGCCAGTTTGAGGGCTTTCTCGGTGGAATTTTTTGATAAAATTTTGTGAGTATGTTCTTTCTCAAGTGCAGTGTATTCACACTAAATTTCAGCGCAAAATTCAATCGTTAAGGCAGTTAACTAAATTATTTAAGAACATTGCGATTTATATATATAAGCTATAAAGCAACGCAGTGTTTTTCATTTACATATTTGTCTGACTTCCAGATTGAATTTTTTGCTGAAAATTAGTGAGTATAAACTAGACTTGATGAAGAACATGTTCAAAAACATTTATCAAAAAAATCACCGGGAAGGCCCTCAAACGGGCTCGTCCAGTCAGCTGTCTCGTCAGGCCGGCCTGCTATGAAGATTCAAATATATACACAAACATATATATACACCATACTTGTCACGGCGGTAAGGCGAGTCGCGGCGCCAGCCGACCGCCATATCGCCTAGGCGACAAGGCGCCCGCCTAGGCGACAATTAGGCGACTAGTCGCACATTGTATAAAATATTATATTTCATATATATAATTATATATATTTGCATATAACATTATATTGTATTTAATTGTATTTAATTTGTAATTTATTATATGTTATATACGAAGTACTATGTATGATATATTACTAATTAAATTGTATATATTACCTAGAATTGATACCAACAATTAATAAATGAAAAAAAGGTTTATGTATGCGTGTGTATATAAAAAAATCATTCGGCTATGTCTACAACTTAAAACATACTTTAAGTGGGTATACTCTTGGACATAAAACATACGGAGTATTAATATACTGGAATATAAGAAGTCGGATAGAGACATGAAGGCTAAGTGAATAACGGATAAAATAAAAAGCTGGAGGAGAAGCGCAGGTCATCTTCAACCTTGCGACGCTGGAACGCAGAAACTGCAGGTCGTCTTCAACCGTGAGACGCAAGAACGCAGAAACTGTAGGTCCTCTTCAGCCTTGCGAGTTGCGACAGAGGCACACCAACAGAGAAGTAGCGACTAGCGATGCTTCGTGCTTGGGGTTTGTTGATTGGCCTTGAAGATTGAGAGTCGATGATTGGCCTTGAAGATTGAGACTTTCAGAAGGCTTCGGTTCCTAAATTACTACTCCGTACTTTCTAAATCGTATTTTGGGCTGGGCTTCTAAAAACGAATTTATTGAGATTCTAATCTCCCCTGGCGTACTGGACTGCGCCTGGACGACATGTCTACGCCTGGACGACGACAGGAGCGACTTATCTTCTTCTGGCGAGTCGATCTCCCAAGTCGACCCTTCTCCATCGCCAGGATGCCAAGTCGGTGCCTAGGCGACGCCTAGTCGACGCCGTGACAAGCATGATATACACATACATATATATCAATAGAGGGATATTCATGTGCAGGCGGACGGACCAGAACCGCCGTGCGGCCAGCGGCGTTTGGTCGCCTTCCCGGTGGAATTTTTTGATGAACTTTTTATGGCATGTTCTACATCAAATCTAGTTTATCCACAAAAAAAATCAGCCCAAAATTCGATCTGGAAGGCCTTCAAATGATTTTTTGAAGTTGACTGCATTTTTCTATGTATAATTTGGCACAGTCAACTTCAAAAAATCATTTGAAGGCCTTTCAGATCGAATTTTGAGCTGATATTTTTGGTGAATAAACTAGACTTGATGTAGAACATGCCATAAAAATTTCATCAAAAAATTCCACCGGGAAGGCGGCCAAAATCTGTCGGTCGGACGGCCCCTCTCGTGCGGCTGAACGCACCAGATCATCACTCTATATCATTATTTCACGAAAAAAGAACATGAATGGGTAATTTAGAGAGTAATGCTAATAGAAAGAGGGAATAGCGTACTTGGATTCATAGTTAAAGGAAGTCCAAATTCTTTGGTGAAGAAGTCTTGAGTAGGAAATTTGCACATGTTAACACACATTCCTACACATCCACTGTTCTCCAGGTACCTTGAGATGAGTAAAGTGAATAGATTAGTATTACTGTAGACCCTGTTTGGGGTGGCAGTCACTCTCCAATTTTCATTTTATTTGAAAACTGAAAAGCACACTTTGACATTAAAATAAGAAAAAGTGGAGTTTCCAAATTAAATATTAGTATCAGTATGAGTACTTTTGGTTTACTATACAGCATAAGAATATGTATGTTGGATTTGAAATCTTTCCAAAGTTGTGATACCACTATATGATATTTTTTATAATCTTGAGCTTGCATCTTAAAACTCAAGAGTAACCTAGAATATTATATAGTGGTTTATTAATTTATATTAATCCAGTCCGAGGTGGATAGTGGACCAAACAAATTCTTAACGAACTACCCAAAATCATTAGTTTTAAACAAACAATTAAACCACAATTGAATTTGATTTCGATACCATCTTAATATTTTGGGTTCCATTCTATAAGGTTAAACTAATAGAAGAAATAAACTAGAATCTTATATATTGGTTTATTATTTGAATTTATATGATTAGGTATGGAATAAATACTTCAACACCGTTCAACAAGCTCATGATAACTCTAACGATACCAAAAATTATTTTATACCTGCATTTCTTTATTAGTACTCCACTCTTTTGCTTCACTCCGTTCACCTCCACTTCTACAACCTACTTATCAATTAGTTACATGTTCGGGTCTATGGAAAGAGCTATCATTCGTTGTTGAAGAATTTGTCTATGATAAACTAACTATAAAATAACATTAACATTAAAGACCTGTGATATTTCTCCAATCAAATATGGTAGTGCAATATGGTATTCTCTGAAACACACATTTTGGAGCTCCAAGACTAATCCTCTTTGGTGTTGGTCTCTAACTTTTAATGGATTCTACTACATTGGATAAATTCACTGGGTGATGAAATGTTATGTATACGATGATCACCCAATGAATAAATATGGTATAAGAAGTTAAATTTCAGAGTTGAGCATCCAATTCTAATGTGTGCGGTAACCTCAACATTTATAGGTCAATGCAGAGTTGAGCATAGAGTTTGCTATTTTACCTCGGATGGTCCAACTAGCCAGTAGAAGAAAGGAACTGTTATTGCTGCGTTAAACTCTGCTGTCCATTTTGTTGGTGGGAACAACTTCCTAAACTGCATTATTTTAAAAATAGTAGCAAGTACTAAATGGGATTGGTCATCATGTTTTATGATTTGGAGGTTCATTTTATAATATTAATCTTGTAGCAAAACATGGCAGTACCATGTTATCGCAGCTTTGGCATACTAATCATGGCCTCTCAAAAAAACAACCCCACAAAGCTGTATAAGCCTTGTTACCATGTTATCGCGGCTTTGTTGTACTATTTAGCCCACAAGTAATGAACTAAAACATGGAGTTGATCAAGATGGACTACCCCACTAGAACTTGCCGAATAAATCATGACCTCTCGAGAAGTAACCCTAAACACTTGAGATGTAGCTAAATCTTATAAGCTAGAGGGTTATCCAGCTGGACTACCCCACTTGTCTGCATGAGGAATAATCCATAATGAAATCGGGTATAGAGTTTTCATCTTATTGTTCTTTTCTATGAAAGGTGCAGCAAAATACCCTGCGTAAAGCATGGTCATGATGTTTTTTAAATGTTTTTAGTGTATATGTACTTGCAAACTTACTAAAAGCACCAAAAAGCGTGAAGCGCAGGCGAGCGATGGCTCATCGCTAAGCTTTGCGTAAGCGCAACCCTGTGAGAAAGCTTTGCTTTCTTCTGCTTTTCTGTTAAGCAACGAAGCGCTTGAGCTGTTTGAACTCTTCGTGAATAGAGTTGGACGAGAAAATGTTGTTGAAATTATATCGGACAACGCTTCTGAAAATGTCAAAGCTGGTAAATTTACTTCATACTTGAACTCATAATCTCTAATATATAATTTAGTTGAATTCAATAAGTCTTTCCGTTTTCTTATCTCTTAGGCAAGGATTTAATGGAGAAGTACCCAACAATTTATTGGACACCGTGTGTTGCTTATTGCATCAATTTGATGTTCAAAGACATTTTTTGAGCTTAAGCACTTTCAGACAACCTACAAAGGAGCTCTCAAATTGTTAGTTTCCATCCATTCAAAAACAAATTGCTGAACTTGTTTATGAAATTCACTAGGAAGAGAGAGTTGGTGAATTTTGCATAAGACACGATTTGCCACAGCTTTCTTGACATTCAAAAGGTTGAAAGAGCATAAGAATAAGTTCCTCAAACCTTTTAACTGTGAGGAATTCCTTATGAGCAACTATTCCAAGGAGGAGGCAACAAAGGAATGTGGTAGAATTGTCAGATGCCATCCTTTTGAAATACACTCCGTGAGGCTCTTAGGGTTGAAGGACCACTTATGTCAACACTTCAAATGGTTGATGGAGACGTGAAGCCAGCTATGGGATATGTCTATCCTGCAATGGAGTTGACAAAAGAAACAATAGCCAAAGCCTTCAACAACCAATCCAAATGCAGAAAGTGTTTGACATAATAAACACGAGATGAACTTCTCAACTCCGTCAGACATTACACGCAGCTGCTTTCTCCTTGAATCTGTATTTCTTTCGATTTCCACGTGAGTCACAAGTATCTTCTAGCATAAATTCAGCAGAGGTGGTGAGTGGTTTTTATGACTGTTTGGAGACATTGGTTCCAAATTAAGAACTTCAAGCAAAAATTGTTAGTGAGGTGTCCATGTGGGAATTAGGACGCGGACTATTTAGCAGTTCTTTTACAAAAAAACAGCGACGCGTTAAGCCCCCAGGTTAATATCTATTGATCAATCTATATTGCTTTAGAAAAAATATTACAATTTAGTGTGACTTTACATTTTAAATTTATTTTATAGTTGATTGGTGGACATCTTTCGGTGCTAGTGCTCCTCATTTAAAGGATTTTGCAATCAAGCTTCTCAGTTTGACAACAAGTGCATCGGGATCAGGATGTAAGAGAAATTGGAGTGTATTTGAACATGTAAAAATAGTTATTCATACTTATTCGCATGGAAGAGTGTAGGTCAATTTCAGTTTTTTTTCATGCACTTGAATACTTAACAGTTGAATTCCAAGAGAAGAAGTCGTCTAGAGTACAATTGCCTTAATGGTTAAGTACTTCGTATTTGTCAAGTACAATACGGCTTTGAGACGTCTTTGAGAAATGCGCGATTATATAGATCCTATTTGCTTGAAATACATGGACATGGCAAATGAATGGTTGACCGGTGCAGTTGATGATGTAAATTAAGAGTTGGTCTTTAATCATGGAGATAATTTGACCTGGGGAGATGTTGTGAAGTTTTCTGATGTACATGATACACCATATTCTCTTAGACACAATTCTAAAGGGAAAGATAAATCGGAAAGTTCCAAGTCCAGGGAAAAGAAAAAGCTTCCACAACCTCCACCCGTAGACTTGTTGATGAAGATGAGGATGAAGATGAGGAAGATGTTGGAGTCTATGATGATGATGGTGAGGACTTTGATACTTTAGTTATGGATGAAGAAGAAGTAGGCCACTTTGACGAGAAGAGGATGAAACGGTGGAGTGATGAAGATTCTTAGGATCTTTTTTTATGAAATTATGACATTGTGTGATTGATGTTTTTATCTTTATGCCACACTAGTATTACTCTTATTACTTTTATATTTAGTTATGCATTTTTGCGTAATTGTGTGATGGCCCGGCACTTGCCAAACAGGCTAAAAAGGCAATCTGAATTTTTTATATGTGTTCATGGGTTTAATTGAGTGATATTAGAGTTGATGCCCTTAATTGAAATTTCCGTAATAGTAGGGGGCTTATTTGACACTTTTCCCTATATTTTATTTTATTTTATTTTTTATAAGCATCGCTTTTTGTGAGAAAGCTACGCTTTGCTTAGCGCTTTTGCTTTAAAGCAATGCTAGAACTCAACGCTTTTGGACGCTTTTTGCTTTAAAAAAGTTAGTGTACTTGACACAAATAATTGACATTTTAAATTTGTGCAGAAGCAATCCTAGGTCATGTTCTATATGCATGCCCATTTGCCTATCAAGTATGGACATTCTTTGGGTCATGATTACTGGAGGATAACAGAACATTTTCCTCACTCAGGAAAAATTGTTTTCATGGTGGCTCTCATTATCTAAGGGATCACTGACTGGCATCCATATAGCAATCCTTCCAGGTGCAATGGCCCGGCACTTACCAAAGGTTTATGTGCAAGGACTTGGGATGAAGAGGACACTCAGGCAAAGTTATTTTTATGTCAAACTTTGCATGGTGCTGTAGTATAAAGTATGACAAACTTTCAATAGATGTGAGGGCTTCAAGCAAGCTAGTTTGCTTCCTCAAGTCTTCAAATCTACCAGTATTCATAACAATCAGAAGCAAAGAGCAGAATGCTGGAAAGGACCTCCTTCCCCCTTCCTAAAGCTTAACGTTAACATAACATACAATCAGCTTTGGGTTGTGAGAGGTGCAATTCTTAGACAATAGACTGCCGCGTTCCAAGCTGCAGCATCTTTAAAATCTCATATTTCTCAATCCAGTTCTAGTAATGCAGAACCTATACTCATCTATAAACTACCTCATTATGCAAAAAGAAGGAATTTTACTGCAGGTTGAAGTCCATCTAGATCAACTCAATGTACTTGTGGGCTATCATTCAAAGAAAGCAAGGTGTCCGAAAATAAAATTCATAAGATGAAGTCAAAAACAAATCGGTCACGAAAAGTCTATTATAATTAGGTAAGAGGTGTCACTCAAATAACAACAACATCCAAACCTTAGACCCAAAAGATATCACCACCAAAAGCAAAAGAAAGGAAATAAAGATAAAAAAGATAAGCTATTATAAAAACAATATAAAAAAAGATAATATACATAAAAATGATAAAATAAAAAGGATAAAAATAATGCTTATATATATAAGGAAGAGGTGTCACTCAAATACTTTGATTTTAAGGTTGTGTTTTTAATAACATATAAATATTTTTATAAAGACATTTGTGTGCTTTTATTCAAATATTATATGACAAATGACTTTCTTATCATCAACCTTTACTTTGTAATTAAAATCACTTTTATTTCCAAATATTACCTACTTTTACTATATAAAAAACCTCTCTAATAATTTCTTTTTAAAACACCACTTTTGAAATGTACAGGTAAACACAAAAAGTACGGAATAGCACTTAAATTCAAGCTAAAATTTATACATAAAACACTCTTTTTAGTTTTTAAACATAAAGGATAAAAGCTAAAAGGTGATCTTTGGAAGCATAGCAAACATAACCTAAATCCACAAATTTGTGTCTTCAACAAATTAAGCAACTCTGTTAAAGTAAAAAAAATGGGCCGATGGAGTCATAGTTTACCTGCGCCGGAGCAGCAGGTGGAAGCATGGAAAGTAGCACCTCCCGCACCACTTGTTGCTGCTGCGGCCGATTCCTTCCTTGCATCACTCTTCTCGACAGCTCCACAAAGCTTTCATAGTCATACCCAAACCACCCTTTCCCCTTCACCTCCGATGGCCACCCCTTTTTACCCCCAAATTTCTCCATTTTCCGAGCAAACAGACTCATGAATACCTTCTCGAACAGCCCGTCATTGTACTTCGTCTTCTGCCCCATCGGTGCCGGCTGTCCCGACGGCTCTGCAATGCCACACCGGAGAGTGCGGTTACCCCGGCCGCTGTCCCATCGCCGTCGTCTGTAGCTAGCAGAACGTGGATCATCGGGAAAAACTGATAACCCTGTATGATATGCTCTGTGGATCGGTTGGAAATTAATCAGCGCCACCATCTGAATTTAATTTGTGTAAATTATGTTGGTGCTTTGGAGACGAGGAAAGCACTGCCAATTGACGTAAATTGATAAAATTAGGCTGAAATGTTGCTCGATTGTGGACTGTGGAGTAAAGAACGAAAAGAACCGTTCTTTTTATATTTGTGTTTAGGATCCATATATTTCAACTAAATAAATGAGAGAACGGTGGCAAAAGGCACGGCCTAGGCTTTAGGTTAGGTAAAAATACCCAACAATGTGTATACTGCACATACCGTACCGCAAAATAATACTCCATCCGTTCCTAAATAAACTTCCAACTTTCCTTTTTCATCCGTTCCAATTAAAACTTTCACTTTCCTTTTTTAGTAAAAAATTTGTGGTTCACGACATTTCTTACACATTTCTCTCTCCTCTCCACAATTCTCCACCACACAATACTCACTATCTTAAACTCTGTGCCAAACCTATTTGGAAGTTTTAATAGGAACGGAGGTAGTAGAATATTGGTATACCGTCATTTTCGGTACGGTATCATACCGTACTAATTTATTTCGGTAAAGTAACGGTAAATGTTTTCAAATAACGCGGTATACCGGTATAATACTGTACGGACTCCCTACTCAACGATTACTTTAAATTCTAAAATATTGTGAAAGTCCATTACAATTTTGAAGCTCAAAATTAATACTTAGGTTGGTTACAAATACAAAAATACAAAAAAAAAACCAATTTCTCAAACTCAATATAACCTTCTAGGTTTCTACAACGTAACATTTAAACAAACAAACCCTAAGGACTAATGAGTAATGTAGAAACCAGTCCATCCTCACGATGGATGAGCTGTTGAGTAACTGACGAGTGAAGACGTATACACTTATGTGACGAGTGTAATCATATTAGGGATAAATAATTTTATATTCACGTTGTTTGAATAATTTTATTTATTTTTGTTAGAGATCACTATTCATATAATTATATCTATATTGTTCAAGTTGTTTTAGGAGAATGTGTTATTGTTTAATATGTGGCATGTTGAGTTGCTTAAATATACTAATACTCCCTCCGTTCCATATTTAACTCTAGTTTTGACCGGGCATGAGTTTTAAGATAGTGAGATTTGTGTGGTGGAGAGTTATGCAGAGGAGAGAGAAATGTGTAAGAATGGCTGTGAACCACATATTCTTTACCAAAAAAGGAAAAAGGAGATAAATTTGGGACGGATCGAAAAGGAAAGAATGAAGATAATTTCGGGACGGAGGGAGTAATAATTATTGTTCAATATTGAATATGACATCAATAGATTATTAATTGTATTTTGTAACATTCTAATAATGGATTAAATATGTCGCTAGTTACACCGATTTAGTATATATTTTGTTAGTATATGATAATTTGTTGTATTGGGAGACATGCATGGTAATTTACCGATACCGTACCATTACCGAACCGAAACTTCGGTAAGGTAACAGTATATAAATTTTGTATACCGAAAGTTTTGGTAACGCAAAGGTATGAGACAAATTATTCGGTATACCGTATCGAACCACCCCTACTAGGTGCGCCTAGGCGTGAGGCGGCGGAGAAACGTCTCGCATGGTAGAAAGGCGTGAAAAAGGCGGTCAACTCAAAAGTTGATCATCAAAGGTGTGAAAAGGCGTAAGCCTAGTCGTGTTTAGGCGTGAAAAGGCGGAAGTTTTTTAGATAAAGTGTTTTTTGCAAAGAAAAAATTGATTAAACTTTAAAATAAAATACTTTTATAAGCATGTTATATATGAAATCTAATAATGTGTAGTAAAAAACAACAATATATCATTTTGAACTTGCACTTTTTATACATTTAAAAATTATATACTCTGTATATTGAACAAATACAAATTAGAGTCAATCTTGTATAAAATATTTTGGACGCTTATTTTCTTCTTCTCATATCAGTCTATATAATACTAGTAATAATTATCAATAGAAATCTAAAACGTCTTTTCATGTCTAGGCTTCGCCTACTCCCGCCTAAGCTTCTCCTATTCCCGCCTAAACTTCAAAGTTTGAGGCTTGGTCTCGACGCCTTGCCACGCCTCACGCTTTTTAGAACACTTTTCAGAACACTGTATAAACTTTCCAAAGTTAATTCAAGCAAAGGTTGAATCTACAATCCTATGAGTGTAGTTTTGTTCACCCCTCCGGATGAACATCACCCCTTTTCTCTATGATTGTCACGTGACATTTCATCCTATGTTGTAAAAATCGAACCAGGAAATGATCCGATTGAATATTGCAGTTGAATTATTTAAATCTAAATTTAAAATAATACTCCTTCTGTCCCAAATTATTTTGCAAAGTCGAAATTTTTTGGTCAACCACTAATAAAAGTCAATGCTCCCTGTCGATAATTAATTCAATTTTTAATAATTAAAATTTACATATTCAAAAACTACATTAAAATTTCTTCAAAGTTGCAAACTCCAAATTAGAATATAATTAAAAATTGACATCGTAATTAAGCGAATAAAATGAAACTGTTTGATCAAGAAAAGTCAAATTTGCAAATCAATTTGGAACGGATGTAGATAATATGGATCAATAGATGAGCACCAGAGTTATCACCCTAACAAACACTCCTCTTGTAAACTCCAATAGTAACAGAGACTATCACACCCATGCAAGACATAGATATCCTCTCGTTTTGTTTTTCAAAATCTCTGCAGACCATTTGAACAGAAGCCATGCATCCTTCTCTTCCCATCGTCTTTTTTATCTTCTTCACATGTCTCTTGCCAAACTCTCTCGCTGAGATCCGATTCTTGCAGATTCGCTCCGATAACCGGCCCGTAATCCTATTCGACGAATTCGGATTCACCCACCGCGGTCGCCTCGAACTGAACGTTTCCAGAATCGCACTTCATGGCCCCGACAACTTGGAGCTCACCCGACTCGGTTTCTTCCTCAGTACCCCCGAATCATGGTTGCAGATTCTTCAGCAGATTGATGATGGAGAGATTAATTGCGTTCTCCAGTCTGATTACGCCAAGGTCGTCTACCTCTTCGATCATCTGCTCGGCAACTCTTCCTTCAATACGCTTTATACCGAGTCTGATTCCGGTAAGTACAGTCTCATTTTCGCTAATTGTCTGCCTCAGCTCACGATTTCCATGGATGTTCGGTCGGCGATGTACAATCTCGATGGAAATTCGGGGGAGACCCGAGACTATCTCTCAGCGGGGATGACCATTTTACCTAGGGTTTATTTTATCCTCTCTCTCGTTTATTTTGGCTTGGCTAGTGTCTGGATTTTTGTGCTATACAAGAAGTATTTGGCAGCTTTTCGCATTCATTACTTCATGCTTGCGGTGGTGATTTTGAAAGCCCTGAATTTGCTTTGTGAAGCTGAGGATAAGTCATATATTAAGCAAACTGGAAATGCTCATGGATGGGATGTTTTGTTTTACATCTTCAGCTTCCTAAAGGGAGTCATGCTGTTCACTGTGATAGTGTTGATTGGGACTGGTTGGTCATTCCTGAAGCCATACTTGCATGACGGGGAGAAGAAGGTGTTGATGATTCTAATACCACTACAAGTGCTAGCGAACATTGCACAGGTTCTGATTGATGAAGCCACTCCATATGGAATTGACTGGATAACTTGGAAGGAAGTGTTCATTCTTGTTGATGTTATCTGCTGTTGTGCAGTTCTCTTCCCTATTGTTTGGTCAATTAAGAATCTCCGCGAGGCTGCCAGGGCGGATGGGAAAGCCGCTGTGAATTTGATGAAATTGACTCTCTTTAGACATTACTACATTGTGGTTATATCGTACATCTACTTCACTCGTGTTGTGGTTTATGCTTTGGAAACAATCACCTCATATAGGTATGTATGGACTAGTGTGGTGGCAGGGGAATTGGCTACACTTGCTTTCTATGTGTTTACTGGGTACAAGTTCAAACCTGAGGCACATAATCCCTATTTTGTAATTGATGATGATGATCAGGATGATGCATTGAAGCTTGAAGATGAGTTTGAATTGTGAATCTAATCAACCTCCAGGCAGGTTTTTGTCCAATTAAACGAATGTTGTCATAATGCTTCTGTGTTTGTTACTGGTCTGTGATGAAACATTTCCATACCATTCGGTTCAAAGTATTTTAGAACCAAGAAAATGCTAGGGAAAGAAAACTGGGAGGAAAATCTAGATTAGAAGAACATGCAAAGGAAAATTGAGGGAAATTTTATGTTAAATCCAAACTTAGTTAATCTGTTTTAGATATTTGTTTAAAATCATTTTAGTAATTAATTAATTTATTTATTTATTTATTTATTTATTTATTTATTTATTTATAAATGTTATAACCAATAACTCTGAGATTTGACTTTTTATCAGACTCTTATTTCATTTTCCTTTGTATTTCGCAATGAAATATCAATATAAGAAAATAATGTTCCTAGCAATTTAATTTCTCTCCTTTATCTAGTTTTTTCTGTGATCCAAACACACTCTAAAGGTCTAATTTTTTCGCAAGAAAGTGGAAAAACTTTCATCCTTTTGAGATTTGTGACTCTGGGTAAATGCCATTTGTATAACTTTTTGAACTATGGTCTTATTTTCTATTAACTCGCCATAAGCCTATAACTTTTGATGATGATGAGATAATTAATGGTTGTGTAGTAGGCCAATTTTGCCTTCTATCTCACTTTATATGAGAAACTCCAAGTCTTGCTATTATGTATTGAACTATTGAATATTGATTGATGTTTGTTACGTAAAGATTAATATAAATAGCTTGTAAGGTGTTCTATCATTGCACCTATTATGGACTAGCTGGAGAGACCATCATGTGAAGCATTTCTGATGGACAAAGAATTTCTGCTTTTATGGATCCCAAATTTAAGTGGCGGATAGAGAGATTTATTCAACAAGCATGCTAATAGTGGTGGAGATGGGCCGGTTTCAATCCGGATCTAGACCTGTTGGTTCTTCTGGTCACCAAAAGGGAAGAACCATGCTAATAGTGGTGGAGATGGGTCTTGGTCTTGATCGAGTTTTGGGTAGTTTCACGTTAGAAAAGTTAAACTTATAATAATAGATCGGGACCGAAATGGGCCAATTCTGGCCCATGTCAATACTACCAAAATAGATAGCTCTTATACCGATTCCATTTTTGGGCCAGAATTCCATTTCATCTTGAGGCCACCTCAAACGAACCGAACAGCCTAGGTTTGGTTAGGGCTGCACAAGAATAACTCGAACCCGCCTGACCCAACCCTACCCGACCCTATTTAATCGGGTATTTTGATTTTTAAAAATATTCATGGGTTAAATATGATTGAACCCGCACCTAATGGGTAGGGTTGCGGAATTAAAATCTCCAACCTGATAGTACCCGACCCGGCCGAAGTTCATTTTACTATTATTATGCTACAATGTTTTCTTGGATAATTTCAATTTAAGACCAATGTGCTCTATCTAGGACTTTATGATACTGGAATTATAATTAAACATTTACTAGTTTGACTAGGTGATTATTATATATTTATGTTTCCTTCTAAATGATCTTCCTTTACGGAAGGATGTTTTAATACTATTATCTAATGTTTTTGCTTATAAAAGATACGAGTACTTGTATTTGTTTGTGTGTTTGGAAAATAAGTTAATCGAGCTTTAAATTGGTTACATTAATCTTCCACATAAAGATGCAACCCGAAGTGATTTTTTTTTTCAATACCCGATCCTACCCGATCCGTTCATGCATGGTAGGTTTGGTTTTGGTGTGGAATCATGTTTTGGCATGGTTTTATTTGTTAAGTGATCATATGATCCTTTTTTTATTTATTTTTCAAGAAGCTTCTTTGTAACGGCTTCCACGACATCCAAGTTCTGCTTTCATTGAAGAACTAGTATGTAGTACTCCCTCCGTCCCATCTAAAGGTTCTCGTCCACTATTCACATGATCAACTTAAATCATTCTTAACATTTTGCTTTATATATCAATTTTTTTTGAAGTTTACATATTTTTATCAGCCTCTGTAGCGACTTTAATGTAGTTTCTGAATATGTAAATTTTGTTTTCTAAAAATAATCGGAGTGTGAACATGAATCAAGTTGCTTTATCGTCAGTCAAGCATCGTAAACTGAACCGGGAACCTCTATATGGGACGGAGGGAGTAGTATAATACTTCACCCTAGGTACATTTTGGTCTAGTGAGGGTTTAAGAAAAGTAATCAAGTAATATGCAACCATCAAAAGTAAAAAGATTATATTATTTTCAAAAGTAAAAAGATTATATTATTAATATAAGTATGATCTAGATAAGTAAAAAATTAGTATTCCCTCTCTCCCAGAATTATCTTCATAGTTTCCTTTTTCGTCCGTCCCAAATTTATTTCATCTTTCCTTTTTTCGCAAAGAGTTTGTGGTTCACAACCATTCTTACAAATTTCTCCATTCTCTGCACAACTCTACACCGTTGAATCCCACTATCTTAATATGTGTGTCCGGTCAAAACCAAAGTTTTTATTGGGACGGAGGGAGTACAATTCATTTTATGAAAATGTTCCTTTTTATATAATCTAAAAAGTAAAGTGTATTTATAAGGCGTGACATGATTAGTATCAATATCCAATATCGTGAAGTTATCACTCATTTTACACCTAATCACTAACACTATTCTCGGTAACACTATTCTCGGAAAGCACTATATCTTGATTCTTGATAGAGTATATGGGTCCAGGCCTCATGATCCACATACTCAAGAGAATAAGATGAAGCACAACTGTCATCAAGTGGGTCCTCCGTCGGCCAGATGACCTCCATCGGCCGGACAAACACCAACCCAGAATGTGGTCCAGAATCCAGGAGAACCGAGGTGCCTCTGTCGGCCGAGTCTCCGTCATCCGGGGCTCCATCGGTCATAGAGACTTCGAATACGTAGATTCCATATTTAGTCAAATTACATACTCTGTATTCGGTCCAATAGTGATCTCATTGTAAATGGGTCTCCCTAGCCCAAGACTTGGGAGCTCACCTCATATTTTCCCTATAAATACTCCTATTGCACATTCATTGCAAGGGTTGATAAATGAGATACACACCAAGAACGTTCATACTCAATAAGAAATTTCCATTCCAGAATCAAAGATTCTAAAAACTATTATAGATACTTTTCTTGATTGTAAATGAATGATCAATCCATCTTGGTTAGTGTTTACATCTTGGTATTAGTGTATCTCATTTCTGATTGAGTATGAACTTTCTTGGTGTGTATCTCATTTATCATCTTGCCTACCATTACTATACATTTCTTTGTGAGGGTCCCAACTTAAAAAATGTGTATTGATGGTTATGGCATCAATAGCCTGTTTTACTACCCACATATTACTAAAAGGAAGTGACAGAAGTTTAAGTATATGATATACCCATTATGCTAAATTAAAACACGGCAATTACGGAGTGGGTAAGTTACCTAACAATGAAGATAGGTAATATGTATTATGTATAGCAGATCTTAATATCTCCGTTACCATCTCTACTACTAAGTAAAGATGCATATATTCATACTGGTAGCTCAGTTAGTTGAGTGGTGGGGAAAATGGAGAAATGATCAAGGTTCGAAATCTGTCGCGACCCTGTGGAGGTTACAACTCCAGCGTGCTGGGTTGGTCCTCTGTATGCACGAATATATGGCCTACCACAATTGAGCCGATTGAATCACCGTGATTTAAATCCTCCCATATGCTTTATTGGATTAGGTGCGAAGGGCCCTTAGGGTTGGGGATTCAACCTTTTGGAGGAAAGTAAAGATGCATATTAACTTTTTCTCTTTTATTGAAACACGAGAGACCCCTCCTTAAATAGAGAGTACGAATACCCCAAGTAGTACAGATCTTTCCCCCACTTTTTTATGTATTTATCCAAAATTGTTTTCATTTAGGCTAAGTTTTGAACAAGAATTGAAGTTGAAGCATTATAGGGACCATTGTTTGAAGATGGGGGATATAAGTTGTTAAAGGTCTAAAACTGAATTGCTAGCCGAAAGAATAGTCTTGTCTAGCCAAATAGCTGAAATAACAACAGAAAAATGTAAATTATCATAAAGTAAATGTTTATATGAAAACAAGATAACATTTAAATGACAGGAAAGTAAAATTAACATAAGTTTGTGGTAAGTTAAGAATGAAATGAAACAATGCAATAAGTAACTTTTCGAATCAGCTCATGATCTTTTCGAAAAACTACTTATTCTCTCCGTATCAAAATAATTGTCCCAATTTATTTTCTGGGATATATCAAATTAATTGTATCATTTCTTTTTTCGGAAAGAAAGTCACCCTAAAGGTAACTACATTATCGCTGCAGTATCAAAAACCTCTTATTTTATAAAGTTTATAATAATTATCTTAAACTACATGACAAAGCGAATGAGACAGATAATATGATACTCAAGGAGTATACTTTAATTATCCGAATCTATGTAATTTCATTTCATTTTGAAATAAAATGGTCATCCAAACATACACTTAGAGGCCACTCTAAAAAGATCATAATGATATGACCCGTGAAGCATGTGCAAACATTCTCTTCCCCGAAACTAGATGGTATCTCACACTACTTTTTCTGTGACTTTGCCCATATTTGTAAAAACTACCTACGTTATGCGTGATACAAAGAATTCCACAAAGAAACCCCTACATTTTACTGTTTGTCAACAAAAGTGGATCTTGGTAAATTGCAACTTTAAAAATTTATTTTCAGTTTTCCCATGGTTGGCCCAATGGGTTCACCTAGAAATTGGTTAGTAGAGCTTTACCCCTCCCAAATAGATTCCATTAACTACTCGAACTACCATTATGGGTGGTGGGTATTATTTATGGAGTGGTTTTAACTTTGTGAATGTGACAGTAATATGTATGGACCTCCAATCTAACTGCTCATTTTTTTTGTACAATTAATGCAGGTTGAGAGGGACCATCCATGATTGACAAATGACTTTGGTTTTCACAATTTGGTATTGATATGGAGCTTTAAAAGGCACACCATATTAGCAGTGTTGGGTAAGGTTTCAGGTTTGACCATGCAGATAACAACCAGACATTATTGACTGGATATGGTTTTTCTTTAGGAGATCTGAAGGCTCTCAAGTGTCAATTTTCTTTGCTAAGGGGAACATGGCATGGGCCCCACCACCTGAGCAAATCTAATGCTTCTCATTTTTTCTTGCCATGGTCATCCAACGGTCAAATATGCCTAGCACATAAACCATCTTTTCTTGCCTAGGTATATTTGAGCTTCTTCACAACACTCTTGAGTGTTGTTACTGCTTAAACATGATCACAATTATGATTACTTTTAGTTGTCAAAAATGATATAGAAAGTGGTTGTGAATAATTTAATCAACTGTGACATTACTTTACATCTGCAAGGGGGAATATATGGTGAGCAATTAATTGGCAAATACACCTTGAAAGTTCATTTCTACATTGGGCTAGAATACAATGAGCAAATAAAATTAAGGAGTTTGGGATTTCATTGCTCCTTTTTCTCTCAATTACTATCATCACTTCTCCATAATGCCTAAATCAAGGAAACAACAAGGCCTGAACTCATTACTTCCATCCTGACCATCAAGTGACAATCTTAGGAACTCAAATGTTCCTACTTCATTCATCTTAGCCACCTTTTTTAAAGATCAGTAGTTGAAGAAGGAGAAATTTCCCCACCAATACTATATGTTTGACAGGAGTAGGTTGATGAGTAGTTCTCCATCCCCACATAACCTGCTTGAACACTTTTGAAGCTGGGACTTCTTAGATTCCGACCATAGGTGGTTTCGACATTAATAAGAGGAGACGACTCTGGTATCAGGTAAGACAATCGTTTCTTTGCCGATCCACCGCGCTCCCTCTCTGGCGTGGAAGGCCTCTGTCTGGGCGCGCTTTGTGACCGGATACGGGCTTTTGCAGATTCAGTGGCAGCCATGTAGTTAGGCACTGGGACAGACACCTCATTTGAGGATGTGCTGTAGCGGGATGCAATGCGGGCGCTTGGGGTGCGCAGGCACGGGGTGTTAGCAGTTGAGTAGCTTTTGTCGAGACGTCTCAGCGGGCTTGATGATCGGATTTGCAGCTGTTTAGGCTTACAGGGGGAAGGAGTTGATGGATGTTGCATAGTGTGGGGTACACCGTAAAGTGAAGATGTTCTCTGGTAGCAGGGAGGGGAAGGCGATTGCTTGTGGTGTTGTGATCTTCTTCTAGTAGTAGGACTCGAAACCGTATAAGAATATGGTGAACATGTGTCGATTTCGACCGTCTTTATGTGATCTCTTCTTTCAGTTGAAGCTCTGTTTATGCTGTTCCATTGTTTGGATGACATCCATTCTTCCAGCCAATTTGCTCTTTCCTTTTCTTGTTCTTTTTCATCTACCTCATATTCCATCTCTGAGCTCCATCCCTTGATTGGTGATCATTCATGCATAATGGCAATAACAATAACAGTGGAAAAGTTAGCATAGAAGCAAAGATGGTTTCCTAATCATATCAGTATTGGATCGGGGTAAAAATCTATACAATTTGTACATCTCTACACACCATTTTCTTGCAACAACTTTTTATGAATATTTGTGTTTGAGAAATCAATAAACAACATCCACAAGACAAATTGTTTTGGTAAAAAAATAGTGAAAATATCGATTGCATCATTATGTTTCCTCAAGATTTTTTGTAGAATGCAATTCATTTGAAGCAAAAAAAAAAGATAACATCATCAAAATTTCCATGAATTTCATACTATTCATTTTCCCATGGCAGGTTGAGAGACAATGACAAACCTGTTGGGGGACAGCATGAAGTAGCTGGGATCTTTGTATGAAGGTTACCTCCTCCTTTCTTGCTTGCAACAATGCTTCTACCTCTTCAAGTGTTTTCGGGCAGTCCCTCCAATCATCCGCAATCGAACTTCCATCTCTGGACTGCAATATCCATTCACATTGTTCTGATTAAGAGAACTTTTATCAACACAGACTAAGCTAATAGAGAAGAATACAATGTCTTACCAATGACTTCTGCCTCCTCCTTTCGGGAGGATGCATAGATGTGCAAGATAATAGATTGACGGGTGCAGCTTCGGAAAACATTGATTTCCGGCCGCCCCCGTCATGTGAAAGGCGGGCACGCTGATCACGAACCCGAGCCTGCACTCGGAGCAGAGCCTGCATGCATTTCAGTGTCATCTTTGCTTGCTTTCGCACATTCTGGCCCCTAATCAATGCTTGAAGTTTAACAATCCCCTTCAGTGCCAATAGAGCTCTCCTCGCCTGCAAATCATTCAATCTTGGTATAGAAATTGATAAATAAATAAATAAATTCTTCAATGATTGTTGAAACTATAGCGGAAGAAGCTCAAGATCCTTTAATTGTTCATGTCCTATTGGTTTGAGACAAATAATCTTACAAATTACATTATTAAATGTACATAAGTATAATCACACCATCTAGATAAACGCAATAGCATCTAAGTGAGTAATTACCAGATAGCCCCTGAAGGCAGTTTGAATGGAAACTGCTGCAAAGTGTTGCTGCTGCCTGCTTGAAGGCCTGGTGAAGCGATGCTTAGTAATGGCATGCATTGACTCTTTATTACCAGCTATGACTTCAGTTGACTGCTGAGTATGGGGTTTCCTAAACAACCATCTTCTTCTCTTTTCTCTCTTTTGCTGCTAAAATTTTGCCCAAAGCAAACCATTAATGACATATACAGTCTCATCAAGAAATAAATCCAGTTTAAACCCAGATCTATATGAATACAATCTCTCTTACACAAACATGGATTACTAATTAATTACCTTTTCTTCATCTTCTTCAAGTTCATGCTGATCTCTCCTCCTGCTACTCTTTGAGTCAATGCTGCTGGTTTCTTTGATTGGAGACCTGAAGGCATTTTTAATTGCAGTCAGCCATGAACTTCCTCCAAGCTTCTTTCCCATGGAGCAATGGTGTTCCCTGTAGCTGCACGTACTGGACGTAGCAGCACGGAAAGAAGGGTAAAGAGAAGTGAATCTCATGATTCCTCTATATATAGGCCAAGGATGTTTTATTTCCAAATTAATTCATGTTTAAGAAAAGTGTGCGCATATCTAAAAATATTGTGACATGATCCTTGTTTTCTCGTAAAAGAACAACTTTAACTGCATTTAATTTAAAAGTATAAAGAAGCATGATGTCATGGCAAGGTAGAATAGAAAAACATTTACCACGGAGTATATACTACAACTACGTGGTACTTACAAATTAATGCTCCCTCCTAGGTTTTAAATTGGAGTTGGATTGAGATTGTAGTCACCATAATAACAATCGTGGTTGGTGTACACGATTTTTGTACACGTCATTTTATAAGATGGTCAAATTGTCTGTTTAATAGATAATTTTTTTGTTTAACGAAGACAATTGTTTTTTGCACTAACAAAGTTCACAGACAAATTTTTTTATTGGAGCGAAAAATAAAAAGTTATATGAAAAAATGTTAAAATCATCCCTTGGAGTAATTTATGTCAACTCAACCATAAAAGTGACTTCGACTTAACTTGTTATAATGATTATATTACACAATTTGGCGTGCATAAATTAAGAGCCTCTTTGATAATACTGAAATGGACTAAATCGGCTGATTCTGTTTTAATTGATAAAGTTCTAAATAAAGTGTCTGAATTGGCTGAATCTGTTAAATTATAAAACAAAATTATATTTAAAATATATTTAATTAATAAAATAGAGAAAAAATTATATGGAAAATAGCTAAAATGATCATCTACTGCAACTTCAGTCAGTTCAGCCATAAAAGTAACTTCAACCTTGCTTATTTGATTATTACACAAGTCAATTCACGAAATAAAAAATTAGAGTTAGTTGAAAAGTTGGAATAATGATATGTCTGTTTGAAAGATAATTGATATGCATGATAAGTTGAAAAGAGGGTTGCCAAATGAGCTCCATACATTTTTGACATTATCAAATTTAGTTTCTTCGATTTAGTGAAACTTTTATTATTTTTTGTAATTATATAAATTTAAATTATTAAAAAATTAAAAAACGTAATTAGGTTTGTATGTGTTCTAAATATGTCAGTTTGAAATATTTTCTATATATGTTTTATTTTTAAATGTGTTCAAAAAATGTAAATTTAAATATCAATTAAAATATCAATTAAAATTCTAAAATAGAATTCCATGAGCTTAAATATTTTTAATTCAAAATGATTAATTAAAAATTATTTAAAAAAATCAACTTTGATTAAAAATAATATCAAAATCTATGACTTTTTAGGTAACTAAGACATCTTTTGAGGTATTGAATTAATAATATTTCTTTAAAAAGTTTCTCTTTTTACATTATGGTTCTAAACAATTATTTTGTATAAAAATGTATTGTTGGTTCGCAATAATTAATATGATATAGAGCTTTCTAATAATTCTGAAATTGGTTAAATAAATTTAAAGCATTTTCAATAGTTAGTTAGTTGTCCATAAAGTTTGAATTGCCATACCGTCATCCATAAAGTTAGTTACATCTTCTTCCTCTTCATACGATATTAATACTCTATCCGTCCCCCTAACTTTGTCCCGTTTTATCTTTTTTGTCCATCCCATTATCTTTGTCTCATACCGTATTTGGAAATATTTGGGTGGTTACAATTCATTTTTACTTTATTCTCACTTTATCAATTCAATATCACTCACACAATTCTATTTTTTCTTAAAAGTTGTGCCACACTCCTTTGTCCCAAACATACTAGGACGGAGGTAGTAATATTTTATTTAGAAACTGCGCTAAATAGGAGCAAAAACGTTTTGAAATTCCAAAATAGGAGTATCATATTTTTTATTTCCTGAATAGGAGTAATCTGCCAAGTTTGAAAAAAAATGACATGTTTAAAGCCTAGTAATGTCAAACTTGACTGAAATTTACTCCTGTTTAAGAAATAAAAAACTTGATACTCTTATTTTGGAATTTCAAAACTTTTTTAATCCTATTTTGGGAATTCACCCTATTATATTTAATCACTTTTTTGAAAGCTCCTTTTAGCTAATAAGCTTTCTCAAGTAAAAAATAAAAGCAAAGCTTCAATGGTTATATATTTTCTTTAAAATTGCAATCAAGTACTCCAAATGAACCGTTAGATATATGCTCTTAATATACTAAAAGCTGTGAAATTTTAATTGTAACTGTTGAGTCGATTGAATTTGTTGAATTACGAAAAATATATTTGAAATATATTTGAAATATCTTGCATCAATAAAATGAAGAAAAAGATAAATGAAAATAGCAAAAATTATTCTCAACTTTACTTGATTGGGAAATTTATGAATTGAGAGTAAAATCCTTTAGGCACTATAGGAATGCTAACTAGGTTTCTCCCCTTAATAGGAGTAGTGAGTACGTTTAAGTTTGATCACTAAATCAAAACTATTTTCTAAAAAATGATCACATTTACATTTAGACAAAAATGTGACAAATGCAGACTGACATCTCCGCAGTGACATTTTCACACACATTTACATTTGGACAACTAATCTTCGCAATGACATCTTCGCCATTGCCGTCCACAGTGACACCTCCGTAGTGACATCCTTGCAATCACCGGCCGTAGTGATGCCTCCACAGTGGCATCTCTGCCGTCATCACCCGTGTCACTAACGCCACTGCTACCGTCGCCGACCACGCCGCCGACTACAGTGACACATCTGCAGTGACAACTTCGAAGTGACGTCTCTGCCCCGACCACAGTGACATCTCCGCCGTCCAGCCACCACCGCCAGCCACAGTGACACCGCCGCCGGCCACAGTGGCATTGGCTGCAACAGTGACATCGGCTATGGTGATATCATAACTTTAGGCAGTTACACCACCACAGTGCCCTGCCACCGCCGATCACCGCCACTAATGACCACCGCACCGCCCGTCACAACCCCGTCACCAGGGAACTACCTGTCCAATAGGCACAATCCAAGCCCAAACCATACCCCTACCAGACCCAGCTCCCAACCCTCCGCAGGCACAATCAACGACCAGACTCAGCCCAACCCCAGCGCCGTCACAACCCCCGGCCAACTCCAACCCCAACCCTAGTCATCGTGACCTTTTGGATCTGCAACACAGAACGATGGTGAATCTAAGATTGAAGACCATAGTAATCGATCAATGCCTGTAGTGGATTTTAATTTTCAGGGATATTTTTGAGATTTAATAATATTTTGGTCATAATTTTGGAAATAATGAAAGGTAGTCATATTTTTGTGTTTGACAAAACTATAGGTAATATTGATGTCCTTATTCCATACGAAGTATTGTTTATGGAATAGAAACATATATTTCATACTTTGGATTTTCTAACGTTTTAACTCATACATACATAGTATTTAGGATAATTTATTTATTTATTTTGATTATTACATAATTTAGCGTTCAAATTCAAAGGTATAGTGCTTATTAGGAAAATATAAACCAGTGCTGTATTACGCAAATTTCTATTAGATGTGATTAAGAAAGATAAGAATTATGTGATTAAGATTGGTATAAAAAGAGAGATATATCCAAACCCACAAATTATTACTTTAAATTAAATACCGTAATATTAAGATTGTTTAAAAAGTTGACAAATTAAATAGAGTAAAATTGATAAACTAAAAATAAAAATGTCCAAACTGCTCATAATTAATTAAATGGTAATGTTTTTAAGATAGTTAAAAAAACGTGGACAAATTGAATAGATGGAGATTGATAAACTAAAATAAAATGTTCAAACCGCTCATAATTTATTTAGTGAAAAAGAAGTAGACAACAATAAGTGTGACCACGTGAGTTGAGAAAGAAATGGTGGGTAATAAAGCGAGTTGGGCCTCGTGGTATTATTAGTGCAAGAATGGCCGTGCTTATCCCTGCACCACCCTATACGTCCGGAAAGATGCGGTCTTTTTTTTTCCTGCTTTTTTTCTAATTCAAATACTTTTGCTGATGTTCTTATTTAAAATAAGAATAACATTATAAAAATAATACAGTACACTGATGTAAGGAATTGCACCTAGTGCTTTATAGCTACTACTCCATCCGGTTCTTATTAAAGTTCCCAGTTTGACTTCACACATATTAAGAAAATGAATTTGACTTTACTGTGGAGTGCACTGTTTGGCACTGTTTGACACTGTTTGGACACTGTTTGACACTGTTTGACACTGTTTTGCATTGTTTTGTTTCCTAAAATGGAAGTGTGAACTTAAATAAGGGACATCCCAAAAAGGAAAGTGAGAACTTTAATAAGAACCGGATGGAGTACAATTTTAATACGAATTTTGTACCTACTTTGAATTAAAGGTTTAACTTAACTCAAAAAGACGTTATACTGTTCGTATTATTTTTGTATTGATCATTTTATCATTAACAAATAAATGTTTTTATTTTAAAAATTAACCTGAAAAGGTGAAATTGTCCGCCTCAAACGCTTCACACCTGACCTGACCCAACCTATGTAGCACCGATATCGGTACGCGGAATCGCGGAAACGCGGACACGGGTACGGGGATACGGCAAAACAAAAAAAAAGTAGGATACGGATACGGGGCCATATTTATAAATATTAAAAGTTATGGGGACGTATTTAAAAATATTAAAAGTTACAGGGGTGTATTTATAAATATTAAAAATAGTTTTTTTTGGAAATATATACATATAATATCCTATGAAATATACAAAAAAAATAATTTGTTTGGATATATATATATATATATATATATATATATATATATATATATACATACACACATATATACCCATTCATTACATATACATCATGATATTTCTCATATACACTAGTGCATCTCGAAATATAAATGTAGACATGTAGTCGATAAGTCATTAATTTAAAATGAGAAATAAGTCAAACAACTACAATCTTGAAATTAAAAGTGCAAGTACCAAAGTTCTAGAATAATTAAGATAGAAAACAATATTTTAAAAACTCTAACTTCTAATATATATTTTCACCGGAAGTATTAATTTCCAGGAATAATATCATCTTCCAAAAAAGCGGCCTCCAATACTGGGTTAGAGATAGGCTTCTGGACTTGCTCAGTAAATTAGATACGGAGTATGAGTTGATGACTTGATTGAGTTGCTTCAGATATACCATATAAACCCATTATTTGATTACCAAGTAAAATGTAGTTTTAGATTTTCATTTTTTTTAGAATTTCATTAAGTAAATTTTATGTTTTTTTATTCAACAAAGTTGATACGGGTATCCGTCAGGATACGAGTATCGGAAACTTTCAAAAAATTACAAAAAAAATGGAAACTTTTAAAAATTACAGATACGGCCCGGGAACGTACGGTACGGGTATCCTAGAGTATCGGATACGGGAACGTATCCGATACGCCGATACGCTACCCTAGGGAAGTATCCGTGCTTCATAGGACCCAACAAAATGGTGGTGGAGTAAACGGTTGTATAGTCTCCAACAATTATTGAGTAAGGTTATTCAAGGTTTGGTGCACACAAAGAGTTATCACATTTGATGAACTCTCGCATTGTTGCTTTCAGAGATTAATTAAATGTGATATCTCAACCCAAATATTTGATTGAAACACTCATGGATGAAACACTTCCATCCAAATTGTTCAAAATATGTTACAAAGCAAAAGCAAGATTGAATTACCCTTAAGATTAAAATGGAAAATGCCAATATTTCTTTACAAATGCATTGAGACAAAATTGAGTCGATGGAGAGTGTGAATTAGTTAATGAGAACTGACGGAGTAAGTAATGAGTGAGTGTTTGATAGAAGCACAAGCCTGTGGGTGTTTTGTATTGACATGCGAAAGAAAACTACTGATGCATTGGTGTCAGGCCTGACGTACCCCTCCCGACTCCCCAGTCTGAAACAAAAGTTAAGGATTGTTCCAAAAGGTGGAATCTCCCACTTCCGGGAGCCCTACCCCGACCCGACAGGATGGTGGGGAGGTTAGTCACAGTGACTCAGTCAGCTGAATGACAGTAGGCTCATACACACGTGCGCAGCAGAATGGCAGTAGGCTCATACACCCGTGCGCACCAGAAGCCTAGCATTATTTCAGGTTCTGTGACCTCCGTCCGGTCGCTGCGGGGATTCGAACATTGGTCCATTGTTCCAAATCTCCCACCACTCGACCAACTGAGCTACGCGTGTGGGTGAAACAAAAGTTAACGAAATACGACTATGGAGTAAAATAGAAAAGCAAAAAGTTTTTTAAAAAGATTGACGGGTATATATGTTCTTGTACCTACCCTATACAAAGTCTGTATTGTTTGTGAGAATTTTCATACATAAAAACATGTTTGATTTGTTCACAAACGGGAATCATTGCCAAAAAATATATCATCTCACAAGGTGCGTATAACGCGAGTACACACAACATTTTTGTATAAGATAACTGCACATTTAAAAACACAATTATCTTCAAGAATTAATTTGAATTCGTTCTCAATTGAATTGTTAGCTGAAATTTGGTATGAGTGAACTAGACTTGATGAATAAGATTCTAAAAAATTTTCATCAAAAAAATCCACCGGGAACCACCCCAAATTGCGATGGCCGAACAGAGCCTCCTATATAAGGACGTATTTGACCTTTTTATGAAGGTTCGATGACCTATTTGACAGTTTTCCCTTTAGAAAAAGATGGAGTTATTAAATTCTACTATGGTTAGTCGTTTCCAATAACCAAATTCCAGCACGGCTGGTTGTGAGGTTACCGTGCCTAGTGGGAGTAGTGAGAGATCTCAAGTTCGAAACACGCTAGACACATAAGAGTTTGAAACTCAATGAAGTAAGTTTAAGCCATGATTACTTCAAACCCGCCTCCAACCCCTCCCCGGACCCCGCAGAGTAAAAAAAAAGTTAGTTGTTTCCAATAACTTTATTATTGCATTAGTTAAACTTTTATGTGCAGGGACATAACTATAAATGACAGACAATAATTGCGATAACATATGCGTCCAAAGTCCCATAAATTCAGTTTCAGGTTTGTGAATGCCTGTGTTTCGAGCTTCTCTTGCTGTATTATTATTACGATAGTATTATTTTGAAACTCAGTAATAATAAGAGGCCGTTTGGCAACCCTCATTTTCGGCTTATCAGGCTTATCAGCCAACTTTTTTACCAAACACGTAAACTTTGCTTTCGCGTGCTGAATTGTGTAATAAGCCGAAAAAGTAAGGTTGGAGTTACTTTTCTGGCTGTATTGGCTGAAGTTACTGTAGATGATCATTTTAGCTATTTTTACATATAATTTTTTCTTTATTTTATTAATAAAATATATTTTAAAAATATTTTTTTCTTGTATCAGCAGAATCAGCCAATGCAGCCACTTCAGCCAGAACTTCATAAATTTCAGCAGAATCAGCCAAAACAGCTCATTTTCGTGCTACCAAACGGGCTCTAATAATAGTAATAATATCATCATTATGATTATATTATTATTATTACTATTATTATTATTATTCAAAAATTAGAATATTCAAAAATTCAACATGATAACATATACTCCACATGATTTACTTAAAATAGCAAAAGCATGCTAATAAAATAAAATAGTCAATAAAAAATACTCCATATAACATTATTTAAGTTGGAAACAAGAAATTTAGAATCTTGAACTAATTAGCAAAAAAGGAACGTAAAAGTCTTGCATTAAAAAAAAATCATTGAGTCATTTGAACTAATAAGCATAAATGTGAAATAATACATTCTCTGACACTACATTCTCTAACAATAATACAAATTGCTCAACTAATAAGACTTATACAATATATCAAGGAGGTCAAATTAATGAAGACCAAGAGCTGAAGGACTAAACTGCAAATATTAGTCTTTTATTATCCTATTCTATTTTTAGTATTAGATATAAATAAACTGTAAAATAGCCTAAGACCTAATTTTTCATAATTCTCGATTCATCTTCTTCTTCCCTGAAGAGAGCTTTCTTTTTCTCTGATTCCTTACAGTCCAAATATTTGATTTCCACAAAAGTTTACATGGTATCAGTTTAGCTTCAGATTCGATCATCTCTTCCGCTGCTCATCTGTATCTCGATCGATTGCTTCTTCTCCTACGATGTCAACCGAAAACCCTAATCCTACGGAAGATCCTTCGTCGCCGTACTATCTTCATCCAGCTGACCATTCAGGTATTCGAATCATCTACGAAACATTCAACGGCAACAATTACAATGCTTGGCAGAAGTCTGTGGTTATGGCCTTCACCGTCAAAAACAAGATGAAGTTTCTTGATGGATCCATATCTCAACCTGCCTCTGATAATCCAATCTATCCTGCTTGGTATCGGGTAAACGCGCTCCTCTTATCTTGGCTTGTTTACTCTATTGCTCCTGAAATTCGAACTACCTTCCTTTATTTTACTGTGGCTAAAGATATTTGGGAAGAAGTTAAGCTTCGTTATGGAAAGAGTGACGGACCTCATGTTTTTCAACTTGAAAAATCTATGACTAATATGTCTCAAGGTTCCCAATCTATCACTGCTTTCTATAATTTCTTCAAAACTATTTGGGATGAATACTGCAATTATAGAACTATTCCTGTCTGTAAATGTGTTAATTGTACTTGCAATCTCAATGAACTCTTTCAAGAGCTTTTACAGAAAGATTATGTCTATAAATTTCTCATTGGTCTCAATGACTCTTACAATGTTCTGAGAAGTCAAATTCTGTCTCGCACTCCTATTCCAAAATTATCTACTGTCTATTCTCTTCTTCTTCAAGAAGAGTCTCAACGTTCATTACACAATCCTCTTGAATCTGTAGCAATGCTTTCTCATACTCCTAATAATCAATATCAATCCATTGCTTCTCCTTCTATTATTGAGTCCAATGCTCTCATTGTCAAATCCAATAATCCAAAGAAAAAGTTTACTGGAACTTGCTCTCACTGTGGTTTTCAAGGCCATTCTTCTGAACGTTGTTATCAGCTTATTGGTTATCCATCTAACTGGAAAGGTCCTAAGGGTCAAAGATATGCACCTGGTTTCAAACCTCCCTCTACCAATGCTAACAAATCATCTCAAGCACACTTGGCATCTGCTGCCCCAACTGATACTACTGATGTTCATGAATTTGACTTTTGCAATCCTGAGCTATACAATCAATTCCTTCAGTTCATGAAGAATCAACAATCTGTGCCCAGCTCTTCTCATGCTGCTATGGCTATATCTCAAACTACTGATCATGATAAATCCTCATCTCTTACTGACAACTCTTTCAAAGGTATCTATATCAAATCTAATTGGATTATTGATACTGGCGCCTCTGATCATATGATTTATAACTTCAATATGTATACTTCTCAACCTAGATCTATTTCTGTTAACATTCAACTACCTACTGGTAATACTACTATGGCTACTCATATAGGAGATGTTAAACTAAATAATGATTTAACTTTACATGATGTCTTATATATTCCTAATTTTAATTACAATCTTATCTCTGTATCTAGTCTTACTTTAAATGAACATTTATCTATTAATTTTTGCTCTAACTATGGTGTGTTACAGGACCAAAATACACAGAAAATCATTGGTTATGCTGAAATTACAAATGGACTCTATCACTTGCATCTTCCTACTCATACTGCTTCTGCTCATTCTGTCACTACTGCTTCAAATAATAATTCTGTTCTATGGCATTATAGACTAGGTCATACTCCTTTTAATAAACTGAGTTCTTTTCCTATTTCTGTTGAAAATATTTCTTGTAATAATATCACTCCTTGTGACATCTGTCATTTCTCAAAGCAAAAGAAGCTTTCTTTTACTGATAGTACTTCACATGCTGCTGCTCCTTTTGATTTAGTTCACATGGATATTTTGGGTCCTTTCAGTACTACTTCTTATTCAGGTTTCAAGTATTTTTTAACTATTGTTGATGACCATACCAGATGTACATGGATTTTTATGATGAAAACAAAATCTGAAACTCGTTTTCATATGATGAATTTTTATACACTTGTTCAAACTCAATTTGATAAGAAAATTAAAACTATAAGAACTGATAATGGTGCTGAATTCATGTTTTCTAGTTTCTATCAATCTAATGGAATTATTCATCAACTTTCTTGTGTTGAAACTCCTCAACAAAATGGTAGAGTAGAAAGGAAACACCAACATATACTTCAAATTGCTAGATGTTTTCTGTTTCAGTCTTGTTTACCTATTTCTTTTTGGTCTGATTGTATTTTAGCTGCTGTTCACATAATAAATAGAACTCCTACTGCTATTTTACAAAATAAAAGTCCTTTTGAAATTCTATATAATACAGTACCTGATTATTCTCACCTTAAAGTCTTTGGTTGTTTAGCTTATGCCTCTACCTTAACTGCAAATCGAAATAAATTTGATTCTAGATCATCCAAATGCATTTTCATTGGATATCCTTTTGGCTATAAAGGATATAAACTGTATGATTTGAATACACATAAAATTTTTATTTCTAGACATGTCCAATTTTATGAAACTGTTTTTCCTTATAAAGATATTTTGAAGAACATTCCCTGCAACTCTTCAAAAATAGATCAATTTACTTCTTCAAATAATTCATATCATAGTTTCTTTCATGATAACACTTCTCATTCAAACATTTTCACTGAGCAGTCCTATGACACTTCTACTCAGGTAAATTCTAACTCTTACTCTTTTTTAGATAATCAAATAAATGATGAATTACATACCTCAAAACTTACTAATAATTTCTCTTCTTTTCAGGATAACATTCATACTGTTAATCCTGAACCCTCTCCTCAAAGAAAATCTTCTAGAGTAAGAAGTATTCATGCTTACTTACAGAGTTATGATTACAATCTGCCTGACTCTTTAAAAATTGTTCATAAATCATCTTGTAATCTCATTAGGTATCCTATATCTAATCATATAAGTGATGACAGACTTCATGAATCTTATAAATGTTTCATTGCTAATGTCTCTACTATTAAAGAACCAAAAACATACAAACAAGCTATTAAACATCCTGAATGGCAGATTGCCATGAACAATGAAATTCAAGCTCTTGAACAAAATAATACTTGGACTCTTGTTAATTTACCACCTCAACATCATACTGTTGGATGCAAATGGGTCTATAAAACCAAACTAAAATCTGATGGTACTTTAGAAAGACATAAAGCTAGGTTAGTTGCAAAAGGCTATACTCAAGAAGAAGGATTAGACTATTTTGATACTTTTTCTCCTGTTGTAAAATTAACCACTGTTAGACTTCTTCTTGCTATTGCTACCACAAAACATTGGTTTTTAGAACAACTTGACATTAACAATGCTTTTTTACATGGAGATCTTTTAGAAACTATATATATGCAGCCCCCACCAGGATATCTTCTTCCAGGTGATACAAGAGTCTGTAAATTACAGAAAAGCCTATATGGCCTTAAACAGGCTTCAAGACAATGGTATTACAAACTATCAGAATGTCTTCAAGGTATTGGTTATATTCAATCTCAGGCTGATTTTTCTCTCTTTACTAAAACTAATGATAATTCTATAACAATATTACTCTTATATGTTGATGATATAATCTTAGCTGGTAATGACAAAACTGAAATTAATCATGTTAAAGATGTTTTACATAATAAGTTTACTATTAAAGATCTTGGGGATCTAAAATATATTCTTGGAATTGAGATTGCTAGATCTGAAACTGGTATTTGTCTTTCTCAAAGAAAATATACTTTAGATATTCTTAATGAAAATGGCTATTTAAATTCTAAACCTTACAATACACCCATGGATTCCAAACTTAAACTTTCAAAAGAAAATGGAACTGCTTTATCTGATCCCAAAGTTTATAGAACTCTTATTGGAAAACTTTTATATTTGACAGTCACTAGACCAGACATTGCATATAGTGTTCAAACCTTAAGTCAATTTCTTGCTAATCCTACTGACATTCATTTAAATGCTGCTCATAGAATTCTCAGATACCTAAAAAGTGCCCCAGGTAAGGGTCTCTTTTACTCTGCAAATTCTGATCTTAAACTCATTGGTTATAGTGATTCTGATTGGGCAGGATGTGTTGACACTAGAAGAAGTGTTTCTGGTTACTGTTTTTATCTTGGAAATTCTCTTATTTCTTGGAAATCTAAAAAACAACCTGTTATTAGTAGATCTTCTACTGAAAGTGAATATAGGGCTGCTGCTAGTGCTGCTTGTGAAGCACAGTGGCTTTTATACATATTAAAGGATTTTAGAATAAAACATGATTTTCCTGTTAATCTACATATTGATAATCAGTCCACTTATTTTCTAGCTCATAATCCAGTACAACATCAAAGAACAAAACATATTGAACTTGATTGTCATCTTATTAGGGAAAAAATATCTAATGGTTTAATTAATCTTGTACTTATCAAAAATAATTGTCAACTTGCAGATGTTTATACTAAAGCCCTTGGAAATCCACTCTTTAAAGATTTTACTGTCAAGATGAACCTGTTGGATATCCATGCTCATCTTGAGGGGGGTATCAAGGAGGTCAAATTAATGAAGACCAAGAGCTGAAGGACTAAACTGCAAATATTAGTCTTTTATTATCCTATTCTATTTTTAGTATTAGATATAAATAAACTGTAAAATAGCCTAAGATCTAATTTTTCATAATTCTCGATTCATCTTCTTCTTCCCTGAAGAGAGCTTTCGTTTTCTCTGATTCCTTACAGTCCAAATATTTGATTTCCACAAAAGTTTACACAATACATAATACTATCACGAAATAAAAGAAAATTCGGAATTTAAGACAAAAAATCGAATTAAATTATTACTTCAATATTATGGGTGGTTGATCTGAGCTTCTTGTTTGAGCTACGAAAATCCACTGTCCCTTTGTTTATGTTGGTGCAAGAAGAAACAAAAGAAGAATAATAAAAAAGGGGGATGAAAATAAAATGAAGAAACGGAGGAAATCAGGGAGAGAGGTTGTAGAAGAAATAAAAGAAGTAAGGGTGAAGAGAGAGAAGGGATAAAGAAAGAAAAAGATGGGAAAGGGGGTAATTTTTTTTAGGTATATATAGTGTGTATAGAGGTGTGTACTAATGTGTGTACAAATAGCAAATTTCATATTCCCTTCATCTCAATTTGATTTGCAAAATTCCATTTTTTGGTTGTCTCAAAATAGTTTTCCACTATGTAAATAAGAATAAAGTGACAAATTTACCTTTACTTTTACTTTTTCCCCATTAACATAAAGGCATCTACTTTTAGAAAGAATGACAAAAGTGTAAAAGGCAAACATCATTTATTGTCATTTCTTAATTCTTGTGCCGGTCAAAGCTTGCAATTCAATTAGAAACAAAAGGTTTAATTTTGGGTAATTTGGTCTCCAGCTTCCCCCCAAATGGTTATATAAAAAGACTGCATTTATAATGTTTCAATTTTCTAGATTTTGGCTTTATGCTCTCAAAAAAAGAGAAAGAAGAAGATATACTATTCGTCCTAGGATAATAGCCCTTTAAAAAATCTACACATACATTATGTCTGATATATTTGGTCTATTCCATAAGAACCTTCTATCCTCGTTTTTGTTTAATACCAAGTCCTAGAGAGTCTAGAGATGTCTTTGGTTTATTTTGGAGGTGCAAATGCAATCAAAGCAGAATAAAAAATTCTGATCAATAAGTTTAAGCGATTTTAATGTCCTAAATGTTAGATTATTGTTACGTATATGGTGTGTAAACGATTCTTTAACACCCCTTCCCAATTTCATTAATCAGGCTGCCTTTAATTAATAATATAACAAATCTTAGAATTTCATTCTAAATATTAAAATGCTGACGAAATTAAATCCGAAAATGTAAAGTCCTATTACTCAATGTTGCTCCTTTCTCTAATACTCCATCTGTAAGAAGATGCAAGTTACATTGAGTATCACGTTCCAATCAATAAAGAAAAGAATTATAACTCACATTCGATTTAACGCCCAAAGTTGGCCCAAAGTTAGCCCAACCATAACTTTTGTCTAGCACCCCATTTGATTTCAGCCTGAAAGTTTCAGTCTTCGGCCCAACACCACTACAAAAAAACAATTGATTAGATACGGTTTTAGCTACGGGAAAACAAGGAAAGGCCGTTGCTGAAAAAAATAAGGACGGTTTTGAGACGGATAAAAACCGTCGGAATACGTTGGTCGGAAATCTTACTTACGGAACGTTTCAACGATTTTTTTTCTTAGCGACGGATTTTGAAACGGTTATTTCCATTCCAATCAGCGACGGTTTCTACCGTCACTAAACTACACAATTATTTAAATAATAGTAGCATCTTAGAGACGGTTTTAACCGTCGCAAAATGACCAATCCCAAAAAAAAGCGCTGGAAAGAGGTTATTCTAATCCTGCTTTTCGGTTCAAAACTCATTTCAATGCACACCAAACACAATCTCAATTACACCTATTTCATTTTCAAAAATACTTAAAGCACCATTTCATTTAATTAAAATCCAAATGCAACAATAATTCAAATAATAATAAAACCTTCAGTCATTTATAGGGCAGTTTATCTAACACTTGAAGTAGTGTTAAACGATTGTTGCTTGTAACATCGAACCCGAATTTTACCCAGAGATTTTTTTTCATCAAATACATGATTAATTAAAGAAGGTAAATCAAGACTAGAGTAGCCTTGATAAATGAGAAAC